GCCCTGGGGAGGGGGGCTGCGGGCTGGGGCTGGGCTGGAGCTGGGGAGACGGCAGGAGGGGCGGCTTGGGGCGCGTGGCCGGGCACCTGGGTCCTCACTCCCACCCCTGGCTCCCTCCTCAGAGAAACTTCTCCCTGTCAGTGAACAGCGTGGCTGTGCTGAGGCTGATGGGGAAAGGGGCCGGCCCCCCCCTGGCCGGCACCCCCCGGGGCAGGGGCAGCACGCGGAGCAGAGGTAGAGGGCTGGTCGCGTGCTCGGGGGGGCGGGCAGAACCGGGGCCTGTGGTTTCCAGGCTGCGGAGAGATGTCCTAGCCGGCTTCAGACCCGTGTGTGTCCCATCCCTCTCCAGGCCGTGGCCGCGGTGACAGCTGCTTTTACCAAAGAAGCATCGAGGAAGGCGATGGGGCCTTTGGCCGGAACCCCCGGGAGATCCAGCGCAGCCAGAGCTGGGATGACAGGTGGGGCCGGAGGCGAGGGCACCAAGGCAAGGAGGGCCGGCGTCCCGTAGAGGGTGGCTTGGGTCCTCGCCCTCAGAGGGTAACAGGTGGCTACCGAGAAAACCTTTGTCAGCGACCCCTACGCCTTCGGAGCCCCGGGCTCTGCCTTCCTGATTCTTTGAGGGCCCGTTTGTCCTTGTGCCCTTCTGTGTTGTGCACCACCTTGGGCTCCGTTCTCCCCTGCCTGACTTGCCGAGTTTCTCAGGACACAGTGGACAGGTTTTGCAGCCCATCTCAGGGTGGGCAGGGGAAGCTGGACTTTTCCTGACCAACACCTGTCCCTCCTGCAGAGGCGAGAGGCGGTTCGAGAAGTCAGCCAGGAGGGATGGAGGTATGGGGAGTGGTGGGGGTCGGGGGAAGATTGAGACGGGCGATCCCAGTTGAGGGTGCTTTGGGGGGCGGGGGAGGAGAGGAGGTCCTGAAGCTGGGCGCCTCCAGCCAGCAGGCTTGACTGAGAATCTTCCAGCACAGCAGCTGCCCTTCCGCTGACGGTCTCTCTCTCTTCCACCTCCCAGCACGATCTGGGTTTGAGGAGGGAGGGGCTGGCCCGAGGAAGGAGCACGCCCGCTCAGACAGTGAGAACTGGCGTTCCCTCCGAGAAGAACAAGAGGAAGAGGAGGAAGGCAGCTGGAGACTTGGGGCAGGCCCCCGGCGGGATGGTGACCGCTGGCGCTCAGCCAGCCCTGGTGAGATTGGGGCCAGATGGCATTGCGGCGGCCGGCGGGTGGTGGGGACCGTCCGCGGTGGTGGCCGGGAAAGCAGTCCTGGACGTGTGGGTGGTTCTGGGGTCCCAGGGAGCGAGAAGAGGGGAGGCTGGCTTGACTCCCATCCCCGTTTTTCCTCTGCTCCGACTTCGCCTGCTTAGATGGCGGCCCCCGATCTGCTGGCTGGCGGGAACACGGGGAACGACGTCGCAAGTTTGAATTCGATTTGCGAGGGGATCGCGGAGGGTGCGGAGAAGAAGAGGGGCGGGGCGGGGGAGGCGGCTGTCACCTCCGGAGGAGCCGAGGCCCTGACGGCTTTGATGACGACAAGGATGGGCTCCCAGAGTGGTGCCTGGACGACGAGGATGAAGAAATGGGCACCTTCGACGCCTCTGGGGCCTTCCTGCCTCTCAAGGTACCGGCACGGAGGCGCGGGGAAGGGCTCGACGGGTGGGACCCTGCCCTGCCGGGGTCTGCCTTCCGCCCCCCCATCCGTTCTCTGCCCTCCCCCGCCCCCACACAGAAGGGACCCAAGGAACCCATTCCTGAGGAGCAGGAGCTCGACTTCCAGGGTCTGGAGGAGGAGGAGGAGGAGCCCTCGGAAGGCCTGGAGGAGGAGGCGCCTGAGGCAGGTAAGCCCGCCCGGCGGAGCCAGCAGCAGGCCGGAGAGCCTGGAGCTGGGCCTAGTTGCTGGGCTGGGTGCTGGCTGCCCACCCGTCTGTAGGACTGGCTGCTTAGAAGCGCGAGGAGGGCAGCCACCGGGAGGTGTGGGGAGGAACCTGGAAACAGAGCTGCGTCTCTGTTTTGAGTCAGAGTCTCACTCTGTCGCCCGGGCCAGAGTACAGTGGCATGCTCGCAGCTCCCACACCCTCGCCTGCCGGGCTCGGGCCGTCCCTCCACCTCAGCCTTCCAAGTGCAGAGCTGTGTCTTAGAGACAGCATGTCAGATAAAAGTCAAGTGTGACCGAAATGACCTTTGGAAATCCCTTGCAGAAGCTCTAGGACACGGTGTTGGATCTGTGGTGGTGTGTGCACAGCCCTGTGTAGTGTTGTGCGTGCTGTAACCTGCAGTGTAGAGGCTAGAGTCAGTGTACACCGTGGAGTCTGCGGTGTTGAATTCACCACTTGCCCACTCAAATGCTGCTTGGGTTAACCCAGTTAAGTGAGTGGACTCGCTGCCCGGAGGCCCAAGTTCTGGCCACACGCGGAGGATTTGTGCTGACTTGTGTGTAAAGCCTTCCAGGTCTTGGTTTTGCATTCTGGTCCTCACCATTCTTTCAGGTGGGAAGGAGCTGACCCCACTGCCTCCTCAGGAAGAGCAGCCCAGCTCCCCGTCCCCGCTGCCCACCTTGGGCCCACTGTGGGGGACAAATGGGGACGGTGACAAAGCTGGGGAAAAAGAGCTCCCAGCCGCTGAAGGTAGACAGGGCGGGGCTGTTCTCTGTGTGTGGACTGGGCTGGTGGAGAAGGCGCTCCCCTCCCGTGGGGGGGGCGCGCGGGGCGTTTGCGTCAGGGGGGATAGAAGGAGATCCCACAGTCGAAAGAGAGAGCGGGTGGGGACGGTCTTGCCTGCCCCTCGGCCCCCGCCTCCCGTTCCGCCTTCCTGTCTTCATGCCTTCTAGGAGATGATGTGAGGGGGCTCCAACTGAGCCCTGGGGTGGGCTCCGCGCCTGGCCCACCTGGAGATCTGGAAGACGATGAAGGCTTGAAGCACCTGCAGCAGGTGGGGGGCGGGCTGAGCTGGAGGGACCCTTCCCCAGCGAGGGCGGAGGGCCACACTTTTCCCGGACCGTCCTGCCTCATCTGCGACCTGCCCTTCTGCCCCACCCCACTCTGATGTTGCTGGGATGGGCGGCTGAGCCTTAGCTCTCTTCCTGGGCTCCCAGGAGGCGGAGAAGCTGGTGGCCTCCCTGCAGGACAGCTCCCTGGAGGAGGAGCAGTTCACGGCTGCCATGCAGACCCAGGGCCTGCGCCACGCTGCAGCCGCCACTGCTCTACCCCTCAGCCATGGCGCTGCCCGGAAGTGGTTCTACAAGGACCCCCAGGGGGAGATCCAAGGTACCTGTGGAGGGCCGGGCCGTTCTCGTTCAGAGCGCCTCTGGCATCCTCTCTGACCCCGGCGGTTTGTTCTGCTCGCCCGGCCTCTCGGTGCAGGCCCCTTCACGACGCAGGAGATGGCAGAGTGGTTCCAAGCCGGCTACTTCTCCATGTCGCTGCTGGTGAAGCGGGGCTGTGACGAGGGCTTCCAGCCGCTGGGGGAGGTGATCAAGATGTGGGGCCGAGTGCCCTTCGCTCCGGGGCCCTCCCCGCCCCCGCTGCTGGTGAGCCTGCTTCTCTGCGGGGACCGGGGAGCGGGGCGCGGGGCAGGAACCCTGGCCAAGCCCTTTGCTCCACCTGCTGTGCGCACTGGGCACACTCTCGCCCTCGAGCAGGGGAACATGGACCAGGAGCGGCTGAAGAAGCAGCAGGAGCTGGCCGCGGCGGCCTTGTACCAGCAGCTGCAGCACCAGCAGTTTCTCCAGCTGGTCAGCAGGTATGGGGGCCTGGGCGGGCATGGCAGAGGGCCGGGCGCGGGCGCGGTGTGGCCCACCACCCCT